ATACCTGCACTGTGACACAGCATCCTCGGTCTCTTGTGTCCCTTCGCAGAGCAAGAAGCTCACACCCAGCCCCGCCAGCCCCACACTCTCCTCCTCCCAGCACCTCCCTCCTTTCCCTAGCACAGGCTCACCCCACCATCCCTCACAATGGCTTCTGAAGCATCCTCCAGTCCTGGTTAAAGCGTGGATGATGAGCACATCTCACCTAACATAAGCTGAGAGGAAGGGTTGTGGAGAAGTGAGGAAATCCACAGCCTGATTGTTGTGTTCCCTGATGTGATGGATGGATCCTGGCTGGTCAACCTCATGGTGGAGCACACACAAGAGAAAAACAGCAGCACTGTCTGGTTGGGGGCCTAAAGGACCTTCAGCCATTCCTCCTGCTGGCCCTAGGGTCAAGGCTTCTTCCTCCTGCCCAAGCCCCCAGAGGGCAGGCAGGCGGCCACAGCAGCAGTGGTCCAGCACACGGGCAAGCAAGTCCTTTCCAGCGGTGGTCCCATGTCCCCAGCAGCGCTCCTGCTCCTTGTGGAGCTGCCACCAGGCAGAGCTGCAGTGGGACATCCAGTGTCAGCCCCAGCCCTGCCAGGTGATTACAGACAGCCCTATTTTTAATCCTAATGTGTTTACTCTCGGTTTGGAGTCAGACGGTCTCGCCAAGTGCTAGGGATCATTAATACAAGAGCAGGAGCCCTCCAGACCCAAACAGCAGACCAAGACACGCACCTGCACAGCTGGGATAAGCCTTCTTTTCCTGGCAAGCCACACAGGACTGAAAAAAGAATTTATTTTTTTTAATTTTTTTTTAAATGCCAGCAGCTGTCTATGTGTAAATGTTAGATCTGCTAATGGGGACTGGCTCCTACTCTGAGGTAATAAATGAGAGGTTCCACGAAGGGAAAACAGGCTTCTCCAGAGCCTCGTGCAACCAAGTGCTCCCTCCATCTCCCTCAGCCTGAGTGCAGAGAGTCATCAGCCAGGTAACTCAGCAGGGCTCCCACTCTGTCACTGCTCTTCTCAAGGATTCCTGTCTTCACCGCAAAGGAAACGTGACACAGGATCTCTGTCCCCAAGTTTAACATTAATAATGGGGGGAACATTTTAAAGTAAGCTGATCATCAGCCTTTGGTTTCACCTGCTTGGAAAAACCAGCAGGATTCAGACCAGCCTCTGGTGGGGTGGCATTTCACCTCACACCTCTGCAGCAAAACCACGAGAAGTGTGAGGACATGCAGCTGGGAACTGGTTTTGGAGAGACCTGGTTGGTGGGCAGCGTGCCTTTGCCATTGGACTGGGGAAAAACCCCACAAGCCCAAAGCATTCCTCTAAGCTGCTGTTCACAGCATTACACTAGGTTTGTAGCCCTCAGACATGAGGACATGCTGCTGTGGTCTCCTGTGGTTTTTGGTTTGGCTTTTTGTTTTGTTTTCTTAAATAAGGTGAGAGGTAAGAAAATCATATCCACCCTGGCACTTTTGAGACCACCTTTTTTGGGGCAGATGATTTTTGAGATCACTCTCCTTTACACAGCAAAATCCAGTGTTCCTCCTGTGCTGCAGAGCAATGTGCAAGCCCCCCTAGACACAGGACTCCACAGGTCCTGCAGCTTTTTTGGCATGAAGCACACAACCAAACAAGAAGCAGGCTCAGTCCCTGCAAGAAGCTGCCCTTTTACTTCCCAGCCCTGCTAAATCCCAACAGAATTACTAAAAACAGCGACAGAAAATGCAAGGGAGCTCAACAGCATTGGCACTGATGGATGCTCAAGGTTTCTCCTGTGAGGTGGCCCTTCACCCGCAAAGCTTGAAGGCCCATGCCATCTAGTGGTGAAAAGCCAACCTGAAAGCTCCCTTTCTGCCCATCCAGGATTTCAGACTAGATCTGCACCGCGAGCAATTCACCTGTTTAAGCAGCCAGTGCAGGGATAAGCACTTTCCCCCATCCAGCCCGTCACTCCAGGAGTCAGGAGAAACGTGAAGACATCCTGGAAACCAGGACAAGGAAAAGCAAAATCAAATCTGCCCTCAGTATCTGAGTCCTTCAGAAAGTGTAAAAACTAAGGCTGCAGTGTCATTGCTAGTATTTAAATGTCACACTTATTAAATAGACCTTGTGATTTTGGAAAACAAATAGGTTCACATGGAATGTCAGTCAAAGACCTGCAAATCAGAGCCACAAAGTGAAGAGTGTGGCCAGCAGGTCAAGGAAAGTCATTCTCCCCCTCTACTCTGCACTGGTGAGGCCACAACTGGAGTACTGCGTCCAGTTCTGGGCTCCCCAGTTCAGGAGGGACAGGGAACTACTGGAGAGAGTCCAGGATAGGGCTACAAAGATAATTAAGGGATTGGAGCACCTCCCTTATGAAGAAAGACTGAGAGAGCTGGGACTCTTTAGTCTGGAGAAGGCTGAGGGGAGACCTTATTAATGCTGACAAGTATCTCAAGGGAGGGGTGCAGGAGGAGGGAGCCAGACTCTTTTCAATGGCTGCCAGTGAGAGGACGAGGGGCAACAGGCACAAGTTGGAACATAAGAGGTTCCACTCAAATATGAGGAGAAACTTCTTCACGGTGAGGGTGACAGAGCCCGGGAACAGGCTGCCCAGGGAGGGTGTGGAGTCCCCTTCTCTGGAGATTTTCAAGACCCGCCTGGATGCTCCTGAGTGATGTGCTCGGGCAAGCGCTAGGCAATCCTGCTTCAGCAGGGGAGTTGGACTAGATGATCTCTATGGTCCCTTCCAACTCTAAAAATTCAGTGAAATTCAGTGAAATTCCCAGCTCCCTGCCTCGGCGTGGCCCCCTCACCCCTCCGCTGCTCTGGAGGAAGGATGAGCACTTCTGGATGTGGAAGTACCTGTGCCTGTTGTTTGCAAACGTGCCCCCACCCCATGGGTACCAGCAGTTGGTCACAGACCGGTTCTGTCCCTGGAGAGAACAAGGCCAGGTTGTGCCAGGAGCAGAAGTCACAGCAGACACGGTGCCATCCAGCCACAAAACCAAGAGGGCTTTAGGAGGTTACTAGAGAACCTAGTAGATGCTGCAGACCCGGTGTGCCCCAGCCCTTAGAGCCACCTCTTCGTGGTGGACACCGGTGCCCTGCACCAAGCTCAGCCCCCCCCAACCACACAGAGCTCCAGATGGCATCTCCTGTCTCTTCTAGGACGTTCTCAAAGCAAGTTCTTACAGAACTTGAGGGCAACAACTCTTTACATTATTAGAAGCCCAAACCACTCATTTTGGAAACAAGTGGTGCTCAGTAGACATATTGCGATGCGTTCCACCACAGCCAGGATGTTGCCTGACATTTTTAAGCTCGGAAAAGGCTAACAGCTGATCAGCTGGCACTGAAGGGCTGATTTGAGACACAGGAACTGCAATTAACTCAAAATAAGCAAGTTCTCAGAAAGACAGAAGGCTCCTGATTAGGTCCTTAAATAAGATGGAGTGGGGCACTCTGCTAGGAAGCTCCAGACTGACTGTAACAAAATTTTAGCGCTAATGTAGCCCTGGTGGTTGAACCCAGCACATGGCAGCAGCAAAACTTGCTTCAAGCTGGAGCAAGTGTTATTTGGGGACAAAGGCATTTGTTGACAGGAGGCTTTCAGCTCCCCACGAGATGTTAAAATCCTGTAGCACAGAGGAGAGGAAGTTGGTACAACATACAGCAAGCTCTCCTCCTCTGCAGTGGCTCCAAGGAGGACACAGGGCACACTCACCTTCCCATTTCAAAACTCTGCAGCCATCCCTCTGCACAGAAGGCTGGGAAGAAATCAGCTGCATGAACTGCCCAGCACAGAGACCCAGCCAGGAGGGATTCAGAGACAGGCACCTCTCGGGCCACAGCTCCCTGGTAGAGGACACACATCTTCTCACCCTTCCAAGTTCAAGTGCAGCGCCAGCCTTCAGGACGAGTCCCTGTGGCAGTACACACACAGCAGGCTTGCAGAGGGAGGGACACCACAAGATTCTCTGACAATGACCCCGAGGGGCCCCATTATGGCCCCATCCCATCCTCCTGTAGCTATTAGGACCTCTTCACCACCAAAGCTAAAGGGACATTTGTACATCTGTCTCCCATTGTGGAAGCTGAAAAGCCCTGTGAATAGAAATGCAGGAAAATAAAGCCCAAGATGCAGGATTTCACCTCAGTGTCCCCATTTGTAAAAACCAGGACATTAAGTCTTGGTTTGAATTCTACTGATGAAAGAGGTCTCCTGCCTTTAAGAGACTTTTTCCCCCAGATTTCCATAGCAGCACCTCCTCCAGAGGTGACTACACCCCAACAGCTCTCAGGCACTAGAGCTGGTTAGTTCTGCTCTTCACTCCATGGTGCTCCTCTGCCCACCCACAGGTCCCTCCTGCCATTCCTTTTGCCCAAAGCAGAGTCCAACATTGCTATTTGCCAACACAAGCACTGGACCAGATGCCAACCCTTCTCACAGACCGTCCACCAAGCAGTGTGAAAAGGCCTCCATTCCATCCAGCTTTCAGAGGGAAGCTTTGTATGCATTTTACTTAACAGAAGCAATTAAGGGTAAAGCATGTTCTCATTTCCTTCTCCTGTACTCCTTCGTTTCCAAAAGAACTTCCTACTTTATCAACATAACTTTTAGAAAACTAAGAAGTCTACAACCAATCTTAAAAGTACCAAGAACAACGGAGGGAGGAGATGCTTTGATTTTTGTTGGGTTTGTTGTTTGTTTGGTTTTTTTTAACTGCTACAATGAATGACAACTTTCTAGGACAAGGCAGAAAACACACCTTTAATAACAACTGCTCTAAAAGACATACTGCCCTTTACCCAATAAGATATATATCTATATATAAGATATATATCTATACATCTAAAAGATATACTTGCCCTTTAAAATGAAGTAATCCGTAGGTATTACACCAGGTAGAATGTGACTTTTGACCAGTCCTCTTTTGTAGTGTTGCACACTCAAACAAAAAGTCTTATTCTCCAGGGAAAAATCCGATTCAAAAGAAGTCAGAAATCCACTCGGGTCAAATAATCCTATCAAGTCTGGTTACTTTATTTTTCATCTGTGCAGTCAGTTAAAAGAACAGTTAACGATGAAAACAGACAACCACAGAAGCTTTAGGTACAGTATTGTAACACTGAAGAAGCAAATGACCGCACCGAATATGTTCTTTATGCTGGTCATTCCCAAACGAAACAGAAGTACACACACAGGTCTAGTTCAGTGTAAAACCCGATATTAAGCAGCAAGTTGCCCACAGATTGCAGCACAGTATATGGCATTTACTGCAAATAACTACAGCAGCAGTGCTTAGTGGATGAACTGCATAGAATTAGCCTCATGGGCAAACATTAAATCACCACGATAGTAACTTTAGTGGCTCCCTAACAGGTCTGAATGATGCAATTCAGCATGAGCAGAGTTGTTTACACCACTCGAATTTTAGCAATAGCTTTTGTATTTTTTCCACCAGTCTACACTGTGTTTTTTTCCGGCCTTCATTGCAGTAACTGTTTTCAATTAACTGTCACATAGAACATAGGTAATTACTGCTTATTCAGTTACACAGCCCCTGCAACAAAAGTGATATGACTGTATTTAAAATAAGAACCCAAAATACATTCAAGAGAATGGTTGCAACAGTAAGGCAAGAAACAGTTTTAAAAATAGATCCTACTGAACAAAACAAGACCAACTGTGTAACCTGTTGCCTTCATAAGGTTTCAGACTTGAATGGGACAACTCAAAATTAAGTGCTTACCCACCAGTAATGGTTAAGAAGTACATTGGTAAAAATATTCAAAGACATGAGTATATTGGACTGCCAGCAATCACAACCCAGGTCTTATCACAAGTACACTTTCACACATACAGCTTCACTTTTACAGGTTTGCTAGAAGTGCCCTGTACAAAGATTTTTACTACAGACTCCTTCAGGAAAAATTAGGCATTGACAGAAGACATCAGCATTCCAAAATTCTTCCAAACCACATAATACAAACCTTTGGCCTGCTACTAATAAGATCATTAAAGTTATGCACTAGGCAGACAGCATTATTGGCAGCTATATCACAGCAACATTAAAAAAACATAGCATCAGCTGTTTTAAAAAAAAAAAAAACCAAGATGACTGAATATAACTTTGGGGAGTGAAATGTACATCTATGTACGTCAAAGGGAGGAGAAGGAAGTTGTTTGGCTAGAGCAGATGAGATACCCAGAGGTTCCACATCCATTTTATTGCGCGTTTGATCAGTGTCAGCATTCAAACCCAGATGGATTTTTCCTTCGTTGTCTTGCTTCAGAGCCTTGATTCTTGCACCTTTAGAGGTACCCTGACGAGCTACGTGTATTGCTCTAACTTCACATTTCTTCATCCCTACTAGAAGCAGAGACTGAGCTAACTGTTACTTATCTCAGCCAGTGATACCACGAGCATCATCCTTCTGCCATCTTCTGCACACTAAAGTCTAGGTAAAAGTGAAGTGTGGTGGAGTGTCAATATCCTATGTCAGTACAAAAAAAAAAATAATTAAAAAAAATCATCTTTATTTGTAAGCGTGTATTAGCAAAGCTCAAGACAAAGATGCTCAAGATGTTTCTTAAGAAAAAGGTACCAGTACTTGGTTAGCCCTGATAAACTGAAAATCTCATCATGTGAAAAGACAATGTCACAATATTCTTGTGTCTGTATAAGTTATGCAAGGCAAACAGCTGAAAGCAGCAGCAGGGAATAGAATCTGATTGCTTTTGCTCTGTTGGAATAAATGTGAATTTTACTAATTAAAAAAAAAAACCACAAAACAACATCATTAGGCATTCCCTTGCAAGCAGACAGGACAGAGTAAGAAGGCTATCAGTATTTCTACATGTGGTTAGAGGATATGTGCATAGCACTGCTTAATCCTGCTTGAAAATGTAACCCTGTAATACACATTGTTTATACATACATGCTAGTAAACAAAACAAAGACTTTTCGACTCCAAAAGAAGCTCAGGGCTGATCTTACATATTTTAACACTGAAGCATCCAAATCTTTTTTATGAAGTGAATGCTCTCATTAGCTTTTGAACAGTATTCACAGGTGACAAATTAAAACATAAAGGCACTAAAAGAGTGCTCTTTTCCCAGAAGTAGGCCTACTTGATGAAAAAGCTAAATTTTGCTGCTTTTAGCCATATAATGAACCAAACCACAAGTTTGGGAGTCATAGGTTTAAACTTCTTAACAGCTGAAAGTACAAGACCAATTTTGTAGTCGGGTTTAAAAGTTTTTATACAGGGAACAATGATCCAAACACCACCACGTATCCAAGCTCTGAGAGAAAACTAACGCTGTCGACAAGATGTGCTGGTAGCTCGCTCTCACACACACATCAGAGGTGGTACGTGCATGTTCCTCCTCTTTCCAAAGTCTCATGCATCAATCTTCCCGAGTTGGTAGATAATGAGAAGTGGAGCTCTTTTATTCTGAAGTGCAACGTCAAAATAGCTGTGTATCTCACTCTCAAAGAAAACAGGAACAACTGCTTATTACTGGTAAAAATCAGTAAGTCCTCCAGCAAATATGAGGTACCAAATTCATTGCTATAACACTATCAAAGTGTTACAGTGATGTCCACCAAATTGGTCAGAATGCCTTAACTGGTTTCAGGAAAGAGGATATGTCAGGTACATAGACCCGATGTAAAGGTGTACAAAGTGAACTAGAGAAGTGCTTAGTATCCAAAAACCAAAGATGACACTTCAGAATACTAAACAGTGAGTACATAACCCAGGCACCTTCCCTTCTCCAACACAAGTTGGACTTCGAGTTAAAGGTTCAGGAAAAACCTACAGAAACCTAGTAGGATTGTTTAACCTGTAACCCTTCTTACACCAAAACCAAGAAAACAGGTCTTACCACCTGATTCCTTGTTTTGTCTTTTTTAAAAAAAAAAAGGAGATAATAAAAACCTCCAAATCATGTGCATCTAATATTGATTTTTCATATTTCATTTATACTTTTTATATCTATAAGAACATAGCTAACATCTCACTTTAGAATACTTTCTAACGCAGAATATTCTTTCAACCGTTTTCCAAGTTGATGTGCATTCTCAAGGTTGAAGAAAAAAATATATATTCATATATAGCTAAGGAAATAAAACTCAATTTCACTATATGCAGTTACAGTGCTGTAAAGAAAAAATAATTTAGAAACCATTTCAAGTCTGAAATGTTTACTATGTTCAGACTAATGCAAAGGCTAAGCCTATGGTCCAGGACCTGTTTTGAATCTGTGTGCAGAGATAGGAGCTACAGCAGCTCAGCATTTTTCTGATGGAGATTTCTCTCCACCCTTCCTTTCTTCCAGTATTCTATGACTTGCTGCTGAAGCCCTCCCTGAACCTCTACCAAAGTAGCATACCTTGGTAGTTCAGAAGTAAAGGTCCACAGGTTTTATTACCTCTTGATTCAGTTTTTCAGTAAGATCAAACCACTGAACGACACAGTGCAGAGGTGCTTAACAATTCATGGTTAGTCAGAAGTTCCATGGAGTACTTTAAGTTGTGTCTTCTGTAGGTGCCCTTCGCTGCCGAGCAGATTTCGGTCTACCTCTCTGAGGCGAGGGTGGAGGCTCCTGTTCCGCTTCAGGCTCTGAAGGCTCGTTGTCTCCCTGCTGGGACCCCGTATCACCTATCAATTCTCTCAGGAATTTGAATTTAGACAAAAACAATTGCCAAACCACGTACCAGCCTGCAGGAGAAAGAAAAAGTACTGCTTAGTTACTTCATACAAATCGATGTCAGCTCTCAGGCAAAGGATACCAGGAAAGTGAGAAAAATTTTTGATCGGCTCCCGTTCTTTAATTGCTAACTTTCAACCCCAAGACCCCTCTGCAACACATCCTCTCCTTTCTACAGCCCTAGAAATACCAATTCATCTTGATATAGCTTGCCCTCATCCAGAAGCAAACAAGCTCTGGGCCAGGACCTACACATTCCAAATTGTACTGCCACAGCAAGCAGTAAGTACGTGATCACCATAGCACAGAAAAAGGTCTCAACTGTCACAAGAAAAGGAATTTCTGTGATTATATATAAAAGAAGGCCTCAGGATTCATTACACAAGCACTGTAAAAAGGTATCACGAGGGTTTCTACCCAAACATATCATTCTGAAAACACATTTTAAAAGCTGCATGACATAATTCCTATTAAGCACACTTGTGGAGATCTTGAAATTAATACCATGTTTTATACTAAACCCTATTCTGAAATGCACAACGTCTCTCTTCTTATGTTCACTAAAAGACCACATCCCCAAATACAAGGTGTTCCCTCACCATGCATTAAAGTAAAATTAACATTCTCTGGTAAATTTGCGTTCTGCTCCACTGCTAAAATGCTCCGGGTCCCAAAACTATGCAGGTAAAGAGTTGAGATGGTCACATTTGGAGAATGTCTCTTGAAAAACACTTAAAATCGAGCTCCTCCTCTCTCTTGTATAAGCGTTTCTGTAAGAGGTAGCCAAGGAATTTAAAAAAGCAGATATAAATATATCTAAACCTAAAGCAGAATCTTCCTTTTACAAGGTCTCCCTTATCTAACCATTTAGATCAAGACTGGAGCTTTACCCAGCTGAGAACTAGTGACATCCCTTTCCCTCTAGCTAACCAGCCACGTTCCGTCCTATGCAGAACAGGAATGTAACTTCTCCGTGAAAGACAGAGTTAAGTAGCATAAAATTTAAACAGCGATTTGAAAACATATGCCATATAAGCATCATTTGCAACACCAAAACCCATCTGTCTCGCATAAAGCTATAAATCAATACTCCCATTTTCTCTTCAGAAGGTCCTGCCATCCAAGCCCATACAGCTGACCTAGGCAAATATTAAGAGCACTCTTTCAGAGAGCGAGGAAAACTCATCCTCCCAATTACACAGCTATCAGCAGAAACAGACTTCTAAGCGTGGACGACAGGGGCATATTAGGGAAGGAGAAGAAACACTAACAAGTAGCAATTGTGTAACCATAGCATTGCTATTTTTCTTCTTCTTCTGTCATCAAGAGTCACGCCAACATGAGCAGGCCATTGCTTAGACCGAAACAAGATCCCACCCTTCCCCTCCTTCCTGGAATACTTTCAACATCCTGCAGAGTTTTAACTGCCACAACTTCTCTGCTGCTGAGGAGATTCAGAGGACAGCTTTTACATGACAGCCTTTTACAGTCTGAATCAAACCCTAAAGCCCACACCAACCATTTCCTTTTCCATTAATACCTAAACCTTTAAATGACTTGTAATTAAATTGAATTCAACATCCCACAAACGCATTAAATCCCCCTACACCCAGAAAAAAAAAAAAAAGTCAGTGGCAGATGTGTGGTTTTGGTATCTTTTTTTCTTTCATATCTACAGGTAAAAATTGAAGTAGCGACTTTCTGAAAATTTTGTCAAGGAGTAAGTTGGGTCTCTGGGACCAGTAACGCCTTGTGTATTCTGAAGATAGTGAATCCATTCTTCCCATGAGCATACAGCTCATTAAAGAGTAACCAAATTTCTAAACCCCACACTCATTTCTAGTCCACATGGGAAGAAAATTTACAAGTGAAATATTTGCAAGTGAATATAAGAAACTTGCAAGAAGCCAGACCTACGCAGAAAATTACAAGCCGTTTGAAAATGTGTCCTACTCCCCAATTTGTTGACAAAGTTTGGGACACTAGACTCAGAAGTGCACAAAAAGCACGGGGGTATGTTCTGCTAAGTCCACTTATGCATATGTGCGTGGGGAGGACCTCTCAGCTTCAGATTGTTTGGTTGGGATTTTTGTTTGATTTTCCTTTGGTTGTTTTTTGGCTTTGGTGGGGATCTTTTTGTGTGAAATCCTACCAAAAACACCTACAAAGTGAATTACTGTGAAACAGAACATTTCTCCCACAGAGCACCAGGAAGGGAAGTCAAAAAATATTCATGGCCATCCCAAAAAAAGAGTTATAGGGCACTTTACAGTAGCATGACCTGAATATATTTGATACAAATAAATACTCCATTAAATGAGGTATTTTAACTTAGGCTAGATAAAGCGGACCATATGCATCTTCTGTCCCTGCAAACAGAATCTATCACTTAACACACAGAAAACATTCACAGTTCATTTGGGGACACTCTCCAGAAAGGCAGGAATAATTTGTTTTCGATGTTTGGTTGGAGTTATACCACCATGATCTGAGTATCCAAAATACAGAGTGCCATCAGTAAATTTTAGAGCTCTCTAGCTCAAGAAGACAAACAAGACTGTGTAAATAATCAGCCAACAAGACTGGTTACAGTAAACAACCAACCAATGGTGATAGACAGGTGAAACAAACCACAATGCAGTGCATTGAAAAGAAAATAACAACAGGCTTAGCCAATAGTGGGAGGATAACTAGGTTTGAAAACTAGAGTTTCAAAACCTCCCAAGATCTCCCAACCTGTACCTGAGACATTTAGGTATAAGATAATCAAAGTAGAAAGATTCCTTTCTTTCACTTGCTTTAGTCACAGAGCCAGCAGCCAGCTTGGATGGAAAGTTAAAAAAAAATAATTCCCAAAACAATCTGAATCAAGTTAAGAATGTCTCTTCAGCTGAGACTCCCTGTCGCCTCACTGTTACTAAATTCTGAAGTAAGAATTTCCTTGGAAATAACGAGACTACTAAAGAAAATGTTATTCTGGGTAAGAGAAACTCTCTCCAGCAACACTATCAACTGAATATACCATTAAACAAAACCACTCAGACAGACAAAGCCTGGAGGCAGATTCACGATACTGAGTTACTCTGAATCAGAAGACAATGCATTTTCTATTAATTTCACAATCTCTTAAGAACATTGCAAAATGGCAACACCCAACATCATGCTATAGCGAAGAACTGTATGCTAAAATACGTTAAATAATAGCATATTTTTAAAAAATAAAGTAATTGTGAAGCAATTTAAAACACACAAAAAGAGGAAAACGGGCATTTCTGTGCATTCTTATCTTTATGAAGCTCAGTTTAGCTTTGCAACAATTTTGATGTAAAGCTTTTCCTGGATGGGCAACTGACACCACTGGTTTGCATCTTAAATACTTCCAGTTTGTTCAGGCAAGCCACCCTCAAAGAAGTCCTACTGGTTTAACTTCACACACAAAACACTTGATCTGAAGCAGTCTTCCAGTGCTTACTTTATTTTCCATAGCCATTTGATTTATCTTTTCAAATCATTCTTAGCTCAATTGAACCTGTGGAAGTCAAACACCATACCCACAATACATCTTTGGGAAACAAGCAGTGATGATGTGCACATTATAATATACATAGAACATTTCTGCATTAATCGGGGAAAGAAGTTGCTTCTCAAAGAAGCAAGCCAGATCCAACAGTACGTTATCACAGTGCAAAGCACAGACTCCAGCTCTTGGCACAGCAGATACCTGAATCCAGAGAGAGTCAGGAAATCCTGTCAACTGCAAACACACTCACTAAAAGCTGAGAGCCATCCTCTCATTTAAAATGCCACGGCCAGTTGCCACCAAAGACGTTTAAACCACATTTGGCATTGTGCCATCAATATGTCAACCCCTTTTATAAATGATGAAGCAATGTGTTTGTGAAGGTGGAACCATGAAGTCAAAGCCTCTTTTACTGACTCATCCATAGATGTATGTAACATCAGGATGTTAAACAGATTTTATGAAGATTTCATAAAGGGGAAAGAAACAAGGTGATCTGCCTACAACATCACTCCGCCTCAAAAGGTGAGGGGTACAAGTCTCAGGTCCACATATTTCATTCATCTTATACTGGCTTGTATGCTATGCTAACAGATGGATTTCTATACTGGAGCAAATTTCCTCTTCCATTAGAATTGTGAAGAGCAAACAAAACAAAACAAAAAAAAACAGGTCTAACATGGTGTGCTCTGGTAAAGCAATCTGACTTTTCTTACATGAAATACAAATTAAACCAAGAAAGGAAGGTGATGCAGTAACAGTGCAAGACAGTCTGAAAATCTGGTTTCTATTTCTGATCCTTTTCTGGACTTCTTGGTGCAGTCTTGCAAGATCATTTTACCTCTGTGTCCCTACTGATTTGAAAATAGGATGCTACTACTCCAGCACATGAAGACTGATTTAGAACTGGGTTATTGCCAAGGTGGATGAGGTGAATGTTATCTGTATTCAAATGCTGAAGTGTCCATCACAAAAAATCATGAGTAGAAAAAGGAGGAAAAAAAAAAAAAAAGCATGGGGCTGTAAATGCTAACCTGAGATTTGGGAGAACAGGGTTCTACAGAGTGCTGTATCAGATTTTTTCTGTGACCATGGAGAAGTCACTTTAATGCTGTGCCTTAATTTTAAGATGTAGACAATATACTGGTTAGTGGATAGTTTCACTATGGAGAAGATCAGACTGAAGGAAGCATTTGGAATAACAGAAGACACCAGGTGACACGGTGCTTAGTTCTGCACAGCTCCTTAAACCTGGTCCCACTTACTGCCACATTCTACCACACGCTGCTTGCTGACTGATAGCAAGGAAACTTGCTCTCTTCCAATCTCCCATTTATAACAGTTTCAAAACTCAACTTCAAATTAAAGGGTATTTTCTCTCCATTGCTGGTTTAGTCAAGGATGACTTCATCTTTTGAAGTATTTTACAAGATCCATTCATTTAAGATAATTACAAAACTGTTTAAATGAAGAATTAAAGAAAAGCTTTTCATGTAGAATCTAGGGCTCAAATATTTTCCCATCTGCACCTGAATTCCGATTTGTGAAGCAAACGACACACTTGTTTAAGCACTTTGAGATACATCATTTTTGTTTTAAGGTCACATCTCTCAAAACACACCTTACTAGCCTATCTTGCCAAATGAGAGGAACGCTTCTATCTGTTCCACTGAAGGCACTTCTGCAGTTTCACATGGCTCCATGGGAAATTAAAACAAATACACAGCAGTAAGCAGTACTTTGGCTAGTATTTCATCTTATCCTATACCCTTGACTATGCATTAATTCCTCCCATCTGCAGAGGAACATGGAATACACAAGCACAGCGATGAGACCACCAGAGAAAGGAAGTCAGAAGAGGGGAAGGGGGGGGGGAAGTGAAAGCAAGTTACCTCAGTCCCACTTCTAAAAGAGCAACTGAAAAATTGCAATGTTTACAGTCCCTCAATGGTTTCTATGTCAGATGTGACCAGATTACAAATAGAGATGTTGCTAGCTGCAAGCCTTCTGTGCTTCCTAACAAATTCAGATTAACATTTGAAGTAGCAGTTGCAGGCATCCAGAAATGTTTAAAAGAAAAAGAAATCAGGTCATTTATTCAAAGTACTTTTATAGATATTGATGCCTAATTTCAGGCATAAACATTTGCTTTTCACATGGCTTAAATACTGGCCCAAATAACTTCTGACAGTTTGTGCTCTGAATTTTGTCTGTTCACTTCAGAAAAATGATAAAACTATACTTTCTCCCCATGATTTAAGTTTTGATATCACTTATCACATCATGTTTGTGATAAGTATCAGAAATCCACATGATCCTAGGATGTCTCCTGGATAATAAAGTCTATTGTTTTCTGCTGTCATTCACACCACGAGTCCTTTTATAAGCCACTCAAAATTTTAAGTTACAGGTCTTCAGGTTCTTGACCCTGTTAAGTTCTCTTCATAAGGCTGTTTCAGTATCTCTCATCAGATGGCTCCAAAAATACTCTTATCAGCTAAATCCTACTCAAGATTATATCCAGACATTCTTGTGTCAGGTTTGTCCATTAATTTGTCCATCTTAGTGGCTGGCATTTACTCACACCCTGTCATACATAGCACTTGGTCTCCCTGAGAGCCTAACAGGCTGTAAAGACAGAGAGACCTGTAGGTAAGAACGTGAATAAGAAACTGCCTATCACTGGTGTAGATAATTAAACTGGAAGCAGCTTGTACTCAGTTATTTTTTTTCTAATAGTGGTCTTGACACTGTTTTCCTTGATTATTTTCCACTAATAAATATGGCATAAGAAGTGTATCAATATTAATGAATAAATGCTGTGTGATAGAAAAAATCATTACAAATACTCTAAATCGTTATCAACTCCTACTAAGTCACTTCTAACAGGGCAACAGTTTAATTCGCCCCCAAAAAAAGCAATGAACACATCAGCTTCCTGTGCCCAGTACTTTTGAAATCTAAGTGACTTCTAGCAATCATTTTATAAACTCTGATACTGTTCACAGTAAAATACAATGGATTCAAAGCAAAGTATTCACTGAATCCAAGTAGAATGCACAATACAGAACTCCAAGCTGCTAAGTATTTATAAACCACTAAAATTAAAATAAAAATAAATAAATTATTAATTGCTTTTGTTCTATTTAAGCAAGAAAATACTAGAGAGATATTTAAGTTAGCAGGCAAAGTTAAAGAGCTCCTTAGCATTTCAATTTAATTTGCCACATACATACAAAAATAGAAAGGCCTGGAGAAAATGATTCTTGTTTCTGATTTTGAACAGCATGTTGCAAAATCATTTTACTCTTTCAGCATGACAGTAAGCAACGATTTCATACGCATACTCCAAAAAGCTAAAAAACCTAGAAGTACAACGTTTCATCTTCTAAAAGATGAAAAGTGGACAGACAACACCTAATGAGCATATAGAAACTTGAATAAAAAACCACTCTGAATAAATATCCACTAAGGTCACCATTTAGTTTGTAACAATGAACAGGACATAGGACATACAGGAAAAGAGCACAAGACCAGGAAACATACAAGGTGCACCCTCACATACCCTTGCAGTCCCAGTTATCTGTATTTCAGAAATTTCCTTACCTATTAGTACTATGGCTTGAAGATGTTGACCTTTCTCCCACAAACTCTAAAGGATAAAAGTTTCAGCATCCAAAATAGTCTCTGTTAACGTTAATGAACCTGCAGTTTATTTCCCCATTGTGGAAAAGAAAACCTTTTGTTTTAAGCCTGTTGCTTGATCATTTAACTCTACGTACTTCAATTCCTCTGTAATGATGAAATTTCACAACCGTTCCCAGGTCACCTTTTTCATTCCACTCATTTTTATGGGCATCACCCTTTCTCTGTTTTCTAGTCATCTGTTTTCCAGGCTGGACAGATCTAAGCTATTTAGAGCTTCTTCATGCAGAAATCCTTACATAGCTCTCACCATCCTATCTTTAAAAAAAAAAAAACCTGGGATTAATTTGTGGGTTTTTTTAAGTAACACTTTAATAAGAAAATAGAATGTTTGAGACAGTCACGTGGTAGACTCCTGTAGCAATATAATGTCATTTTCTATTTTATTTTAAACTTCTAATGTTTGATTTGCCTATCTGCTTGCTACAAAGTATTAAACAGATATTTTGGAGAAATGCTTGCAATTACTGCAGCTAATCCTTTCTTTGGGACAGCAAAAGCTCAGTTTGAAGCCATTATTTTTCTCCACATAAATTATGCATGCATATATTTCACACTTTTAATGTGCATTACTCCATGGATTTAATACTGCATTTCACCTCCTATATTATCCACTCCCTCGATATTGCAAAATCTCTTCAAAATGCTCTGCCGTTTATGACCACAATTAACAGGTTTTTTTAAGTACTAAATGCCAGCTGACACCTCACTTTGCTCACTTGGTTTTCAAAAATCACTTATAAATCCACCAGATTATTTGCCTGTTCTCTTACAAGCTTTTCACCACAGGCTATGGCATAGTTTGCGTTTGGTGGTGGTGATTTTGGGGTGCGGGTTTGTTTTTTTTTCCAGAGCTCTCAGTTCAGTGTATCGATCACAACACCCACACGCATTACACTGCTGATCCCTTCAAAGAACGCCAACAGACCTGCAAGCCGTGCCTCCCATTGAAATAACCCTTGTCTCTGCATTAAAATAAATGCGAGTCTTGGATCCACGTAAGAAAAAAACCCTCCCACGAGCTGCTCTCAATCTATTCTAGCAAACAGATGTCAAAAGCTGAAGGGCACCGCTTCTTCCATTCATTGGCATTTCAGACCCAGGCAGAGGTGCAGAGAGTGTCTGCTCAGTAGCCCATTCACTAAAAAAAGCTGTCAGCTACAGATTAGTCACCGAATTAAGCTCTGGAAGCATTTCAAAGCTAAAAATTATTTGGGAAGGAAGAGAAGGGGGCGCTGCGAACCGCACACGCTCCCCCCCAACAGCCCACCACCACCACCACCACCACCCCCCACCCCGGGGCCCTCTCCTTTCCTTCAGTCAATCTGAGCAAAGAGGAACCCGCGCAAATTGAGAGAGGGAGCGGGGGTGAGGGCGGAGGGGACACGGGCACTGCACACCGGAGCCGGGCCGGCCCTTCCGCACCTCCTCACCCTCCCCGGAGCCGAGAGGAGCGGGCGGGACTCACCGCACAGCATGAAGAGCAGCACGCAGGCCAGGGTGGCCACGATCACCAGCAAGGTCAGCCCGATGCTCTGCCACATGGCGCCGGCCGCTTTCCCCCCGCCGCCGGCGGTAGCACCGAGGGGTTCCTCCTCGAAGACGCCTCCCCGCCGGGCTAGGCCGAGCCCCACCGGCGGCCGTTAGGGCCCGTTCAGCCCTGCGGGAGGGGCGCCGGGGGCCCGGCCGGCCCCTTGGGCGGGTCACCCCCGCGGCGGGGCCCCCTCAGGCGCCGCCGGGGCTGAGCTGCGGGGCAAAGGCCCGCCGGCGGCTACGGGGAAGAAGAGGAGGCTGCGCCTCGCATCGCTGCCGGCTGACCCCCGGGGAAGGGAGGAGGCAGCGGAGGCCCAGCCGGGAGGGCGCGGAGAGCCGGGAGGACCCGGGCTGAGCCGGCAGCGGCGGCCCCGGCCCCGTCTCCGCCTCCCGGCGTGAACAGGGGCGGTGGAGAGGCGGGGGGCGGGCCCTCAGGCGCGTCGCGGTGACGCGCGGCGGCGCGCCGTGCATGCTGGGAGTTGTAGTTCGCTTCCCGCCCGAGCGGGCGGACGCCTCCCGGACGGGGGACAACAACTCCCGGCGTGCCCCGCAGGCCGCCCCCTCGCGGCGCCAAACGGCCGGGGCAGCCGTTGCGCCTCGCGCCGGGGAGGCTGAGGGGAGGCCGGCACCGGCTCCTTCCGAGCGGGCCCGGCCGCCTGGGCAAGGGCTGAACTGCCGCTGTGGCGCCGCTCCCGCAGCAAGATGAGGCGGCGCTGAGTGAGGGGCGGGGGGCCAGGCCAGGGGGCCGAGGCCTGTCATGGCTGCGTGAGGCAGAGCGGGGACAGCCGCTGTGGTAAAACAGGGGTGCGCCCGTGGCCGAAGCGCTGAACAGGAGACACATAGAATCATCTAGGTTGGAAAAGACCCTTGGGATCAGCGAGTCCAAGCATCTACCCTACTCTACAAAGTTCTCCCCTACACCATACCCCCCAACACCACATCTAAACATCCCCTTCAGGGATGGTGATTCAACCACCTCCCTGGGCAGCCTGTTCCAGTGTCTGACCACTCTTTCTGTGAAAAACTCTTTCCTAATGCTCAGTTTAAACCTGCCCTGTTGGAGCTTGAAGCCATTCCCTTGTGTTCTATCACTACCTGTGAGAAGAGACCGGCACCAACCTCTCTACGATGTCCTTTCAAGTAGTTGTAGAGAGTGATGAGGTCTCCCCTCGGCCTCCTCTTCCTCAAACTAAACAGTCCCAGCTCCTTCAGTCACGAAGCTGTGTAGGACAGACACTTCTGCGGTACTTTAGGGCACTCGTAAAGGATGGGGCAACCCGATTTCTGGTTCCTCTTTATCCCTCTTGTCATCATCGCTGCCCGTGCTCTCCCCGGTTTGGTGGACAAGGGGACAGCAGGAGTGGAGTACCAGCCCTTAGCCACAGCAGCGTTTCTACCTCTGTGCCACCCCAGGGTGGTTCAAATTCCACAGGACCTTGGCTCTTGCCCTCTGTTGACATTGTAGCCGTAGATCAAAGCTGGTCTTTTCCTCTTAAGAGCAATCTGAGGAAATAATAGCTTCCAGGAATCGTGAGATAAGTGTAAAATAATCTTGATCCTGATCCAGACTTTGCCTGTAGCACTGGATCCTTTGTAACGTAAGAAGTGCTGGTTAATGTTTTTAAAACTACTGGAAGTACATGTGTTTAAATCCACTACTACAGGAGCCTAATTTCCCATGAAGATGTCACCATTGCAGTCAGATGTCAGAGAAAGCTAATACAGTTCTCCTTTGTGTTTCTTTTATGGAGTATTTAGCTTTCTGTAAAGGGGAGGTTTTAAAAAAAAAAAATTCTGCTCATTGAGCATGCCATGTGCTTCCTCCTTTCAAGATACCTGTAAACCAGAATTACCTGCACGTGCAATTCCCAATTCACATCCTTAAATTTGCTGTCACTTCACCAAATCAAACCAGAGTTCTTCTCTTTCTGTTCCTAGCCTTCTCTCCCAACATTTCTGGCCCTATTTAATACCCTGCCTAACCCACTTAGCATGTCATTTGCAAGTATGATTTCACTCGAAACATATTTTCTCTTATTTCTCAATAACTTTGTAGTTTGACATGTCTCCAGATCTTTAAATGTCACTCTAATTCTGTCCTAAGCAGTTGCTACACATACTTAAGCACAGTTTCTTCTGTATTGCAAAAAAACAGCAAACCAGCAACAGTTACTACCATATTAAATTTTGATAAATATTTAAGCTCCCTCCTAGTCACACTGTTCTGCTTCTCTGATTTTTTGCGTATCATCTATAGTTAGAGTAAGTTCTCTGGATATAGGACCACCACTTTCTCTTTGCTGTAAAACAGCTGCCACATTTTAGGCCTATTAAAATATTTCATCATCCTACAGTTACAAAGTGTTTTACTAATAGTAGTTAATTAATTCACATCACACCCCTAAGCACTGCAGAACCACCCAGCATCTGTAACTGAAGAACAAAATTATTTTGGATTTAAATAATTTTGGAGTGATAAATACACATGACCTATATACATGGATTATAAACATAAATTATCAAATATACTTGATAACATCCATGGCAACATTCTAGAAAATAAAGAAGAAACAGGTAGCAATTAGATTTCTCATATTAAAATGCACAGGTAGAGGGCCTCTTAATCAACATATGTTCAGCTTGGAAAACCTTAATTTTTCTTATTTAAGTGTTCCTTTTTTCTAAATCATAAGGTGTCCCTTTCTCTAGCTCATCCACCAAGCTAATCACCTGATCATAGACCATCAGGTTGATAAGGCATGATTCATAAATCTATGTTGACTATTCACAATCACCTTCTGTTTGGATATGATTTCCAGGAAGCTTTTCTCCCTCACCAGGATTGAGGTGAGGCTGACTGGCCTGTAGTTCTCCAGGTTTTCCTTAGAGATAAGGAAATCTTAGAGATTCTTAGAGATAGGAGTGATGTTTGCCCTCTCCCAGTCTTCAGGAACTTCTCCCAGTCACCACTGTGTTTCAAAGATAATTGAGAGTGGCCTTGAAGTGACATCAGCCAGCTCCCTCAGCACCCATGGACCCAGTCTCTCAGGCCCTGTGGACATAGGGATTTCCAGTTTGTTTAAGTGCTCCCTAACTTGGTCCTCTCCCACCAAGGGTAAATCTTCCACGCTCCAGACTTTCACTCTGGTCCTGGTGACCTGAGACTGCTTAAGACCAGTATGGATGAACTACTGAAATTGTCCTCAGGACAGACAACAAGCAAGTAAAAAAGACTTTCTAACATAATGGCTGAAGCACTTAAAGAGGAGGTAGAAGTTCAAACACCACAGGCATCGGCAAGGGGAAACTGTGGGTGTTACACTCTAACCAAGCTGTGACATAAAAAGAGAAACACTTCCTCCTCCAACCATACCAAAGATTGGTATTGACCAAAGATAATCTTCATTATCCTATTTTTCCTAATATGTGAAATAAAGCCTTTTCTTTGGAACACTTGGAATTCGTTGTGTCGAAACATAAATACAGATTTCCATCTGAATGAAAAAATGGAGCATAATATTCTATGTATTTTATCTAAGACTTTTCTTCAGACCAAAGTTAAATGACATGAACATGTAGACATCTGTCCCACTACATATCATTTTGTGTGCTAATGTGCCAGAAATCTTTACCAATATTGATGATGATGATGATGCATTTGGGATAAGTGAGATACAACACGGGTATTGTTATTTCTCAAAAACTTGTGAAACCACACAAAAGAGAAAATATAAAAAGATTAGTGTTGGACAGACGAGGTTTTCTCATCACTGAAGTTCAGAAATAAGGCTGTTTATACAAATCTAAGCTTATTCTACCCAGTTCCTTATGTGTATGTGTGCAACATGGAGTTACAGAATTGGGTGTAGGTCATTTGTTCCCAGAAGAGGACAGAGAAACTCACTGATGATGTCATTATGGTCTTCCATCCATTACCTTGTAACACTTGCCCACTGCATACTATTGATATTATACGTTTAATACTCTTTCCTATGATGATCAACGCTGACCAGACTTTTCACATCTTCTCTCTCGGTGTGTACAACCACGTACACATTGAGGTATGTTGTGGGGGTGGAGGAAAGGGGGTGATCAGGTCATCAAGCAACAAAGGGGCTGCCGCACCAGTCGGGTGAGCAGGCGTTTGGAAGGTTTCTGCCAAGCGGTGCACCAGACACACCTCCACCGAGCAGCAAGGCCATGCAATGCTGCAAATCAGAGAGCTAAAAACCGGTGATAAGAAGAGAGATGCAGATGCTGAGGGCACAAGCCTTGTTTTCAGGGCGTGAGAGCTGATGCAGCCAGACCGACTAGTTGTTTCACAGCATTGTGCTTGCATGGCAAGACAGGTGAGGGATGTTACTATTCCTCCTCCACCGGGGAGAGGGCTGAGGCTGAAATATACGTTTGAAGTATCAACTGATTTTGGATGTGCCCCTTTTGGCCTCCTTTCTGGCAGTTATATGGGGAAACCCTCGTGTTTCCCTTGCATTTATTTGCAGCACAGCTTTCACTGATGTCGGGTGCAGCTGTAAGCACTTTGACCAATCTACACTCAGTTACCTGGAGGCAGACAGCAGAAAGAAGAATAAAATCACTGACAAGCTGTAGAAAAAAAGATATTTAAATGATCTCCCATAACCACATAGAATTTATGTTATATTAAGGAGTGTATTCTAGTCCTGAAAATGAATTTCAGCCACTTCAACAAGATTATCTTTTCTGCTTTTCCAAACCCTTGCGTCATTCATGGCCTCCTGTGTGTTTATTATCATCCGCACCGTGCATTGATGAAGCAGGAGTCTTGCCAAAGGCTGTTATTGTAAATAAGGCTTATTAAAATGAATACACACAAGAAACGCAAGTTAAAGTAATCCAGGCAGGTTTGTTCTATTTTGTTTTTTTCTATGGTGTCCTAATCTTTTAATCCTTCTATTGGCACATACGTTTTCTTTGAAGGTAACTGGCAACCATACCAACTACTGGAGCCAAAACAACATATAGGAACTGAGTGCCTATCATTTGTACCCCAGAAGCTAGTTAGGTAGTGATAATTCGTGTGGAAGCTGCAAAGTGTAGCCCTTTCTTCTATTCAGAACATACTTGGTGATGTCCCTCCAATACCTTTCTTTTGTCATTAATACATTACTATGTACCAGGGCAGGAGTACAGAGAACAGCTTCTTTCCACCCCTTTCTCCCTTCATTACACCTTTACGCATCACACTGTGAGCTCTATAGGGAAGGACTCTGGTGTAGCAAGACCATGACCCCAGACTGGGACCTCCATGTGCTACGCAAGCACTAAATACTAGCTGGTGTGAGAGAGGTCCTTCAGGTCCATCCACAATTCACAGCAAGTTAATGCCACCAGGCTCCTCGGAGCAACACATCTAAATA